AGGCATTCCTTCTCCTCCAAAATCGATTTTCGTTACAGTGCATCGGACTTGCCTGAAACTTTCCACAAATGTTGGGCACATCAGAGTAAAGTTACGAATTTTTTTTTACTTCTCTAAACCTCAGCGTTCAGGAGTTTTCCAGAGATCAAGGCCAAAAATGGACCCTCTGGCAGTACAAACTTTTTTTCACTATACTTCAACGGACTGAATCGGGGATTGTTTTATTTGAAGAAGAACTGCTTACCGCTTGGACTGAGGGAAAGAGATTTTGAAAATTTTCATTTGTTCAATTTAGGGACGTCCAAAACCCAAAAATTCTGAAAATCTTACCCCAACGCTTTTGAAAAACCCTGGATTTCTCTCAGATTGACGATTAAATAAAAAATCCCTTTCCCTCATCCGAAGCAGTACACATGTATGTATCGACTAAACAAAACCGCAGCTCCCTAGGATGAAGTATATTGAAAAAAAATTTGTTCTGCTGTCGATATTTAGCACAAAAATCTGTTTTGAGAAAATTGATAAACAAAGTGAAAATTATTTTTAAGCCATTTTTGGGAAACAAAGAATTCTAAAGGATTTCTAGAAATCTGGCATTGCCATTACATCAAACATGGAGACAAACATGTATAATCAAAATTTTAGAATTTTCGGTCGTCAGGTAAAGAAGAGAGAAGATTTTCGATCGCTAAGACAAACATCAAAATAGGTGTCCCTATTCGGCAAAAACTTTTGTAACTCATTCTAGGTATCAAATTTTATTCTGAAAATTTGGATACTATGGTAACTTGGCACGCTGAATACGATAGTGATTTTGGTTTTCTATAAAAATTCTAAAAATTGGGAACGGTCTCCTGAAAGCCTAAAAAAGTACTGGCTAGCTACAAAAAAATGATTGAGAATGGCCAAAAACCACTCATATCCTAAAACCAAAGACATGCACTGAAAGAGGAGAGTTCAGTGCATCATCCTCCAAAAAAAACTCAATTTTGAAATTTTTTCAAAAAATCTAATTTTTGGAGGGGGGATGCCTTAAATTATCGTAAAATTCTATTGAAATTGATCTAACTCACGATGCTGGCTAAAACAGACGAGAGTAAGTTTAAATCTGCAGATAGTAGACTGTGGAAAGTATACTTTTTGAAAAAATATTTTCCAATTTACTACGTTTTCATGGTAACTAGTAATTAGCATTTAAGACAAAACAAGTGAATTTCACAGTTTTTTGGCGAAAATTTCGAATATTTGTAGCATTATAAATTTCTGAAAGATGTAGCTTTCCAAGCTCTACAAAATCCGTAGGAAACATAAGAAAAAGGCATTCCATTAAGCTGACGACTAACAGTACACAAAATAGCACTTAGAGCAGATTTTTTCATAACTAGACGCTTTTATAATTCGGCAGGACCAAATATGTTTAACTTTAATGTTTTTGGCATCAAACCTACGAAGTTGGACAATATTTATATTTCGTTTGAAAACATTAAAATTAACACAAGCTGAATATATAAAGGAATCTTCAATTTTACCACGATTACAGGCTTCTAAAAATTCAAAATTTTAAGTCTTAAACTATATGCTTTTTTCCCTGGAAATACTCATGTTAAAGTACAAACTTTTCTCTATCTGCAGGTGACAAAACTAGACTCTTAGCACTTTTTATTTAAACATAATACACCTCGACATTTCTGCGGATATATATGTATCATAAGTTATTTTGTTTAACAAATATTGTCACTTTTATTCATAAAACTTAAAGATAGTTTTAGTAAACTATTGAGTACAATTTTCAAGATTACCATATACGCAAATTGAAACAAGCGTGACTTGAGTATTTTTCCTCCTTATATATATATCTTTGAACATGATATTTGTGTAAATATTTTCAAGAAGTTTTTCATGAGAACAATTTAGTTTATAGAAATTGGTTTAATTAATGACAATGCACTTTAAATCATGAAGTAAGAATTGTATCAGAAGAGAGGGTGTGGGTGTGGAAGTCGATGAAAGTAGATCATCCACACCGACACCCATCCTCATTTTTTTGTCGCTTATTTTCCAAAGAAAAAAGTTACTTGAATAATGTAATTGGTGGTACTTATCTTTCGTAAAAATTCGCATCAAAAATTAAATTTTCTGTATGAACATTTAAAATAAGGTAATTTTATTTGAGCGATATTCTATCTATGCTTAATGATCACACAAATATTGATCATATTGTACATAATTTAGATTTTGCTGAAGAACAAACGAAGACTTGTGTAAAAAAAACTGATTTGTCTGTAGAACTCTCAATATTAGAGATTCATCTATCGATTTTCCACGAATAACAAAATGATTTGAACAAAGTCAAAATTCCTTTTTATTTATTTTCACAGCACAAGTGTGCATATATTAGTCTTCATATGACATTTTGCGATTCAAATCCGCATACAGAGACGATGATTCACACTTAAACTAGATCGGCATTCATGTCATCACTCTAAATATAGTTTTGTCAATTTCTTCTTGATATATTTTAACACGTGAATGTACGAGATATGGAAATGCTTCAGTAACTACCGTAAGTGATGTTTTGATTTGACTTCTTGCGAACACCATCTAAATCAACAGCCGACTGAATTAGAACTACGAGATATTCACGATCGACATTTATCCTCACTCTCAGAATAGAAGAACAGACTCCATCGAAATTTTATTCATATTATATTGGTGAAAGAAGAATGAAAGAAAACAAAAAACAGAGTACCTTCAAAGATTTGGTACGGAAATATAGCATGTTCGACACGAATCTTGTATCATCCTATAAGTACTTGTATATGATAATTAAAGATAGGAAAAATTTATTTTCATGTTAATAGATTTCTTCCATATAATTATTGCTTTTAATGAATTGTTTTCTAAAAAGTAAAGTGTAGCAATATTGTCATAAAGTGTTGAACGTAATTGAGGTAGCCGATGGCATAATGAAGGATGTGAGTGTGGAAACTGATCTTCTTATCATTCAAACCCACACCCACACTCACATCCTCGTGGGTGTGGGTGTGAATGAAAGAGCAAGACTTACATCTACACTCACACCTTTGAAAAGTCTCTCTTCTGCTTTCATATTAACATATCTCATTTTCTAATCATTCTATTTATAACATATACAAGTCACTCAGGATCAAATCGATTACTTGAATTTTCATGTCTATCTATCGATGTCATCTTGAAGTACAAAAGTGAACAAAATAGTTGACAGGTTTTTTCTCCATATTGATATATGTTCTAATAAAAATATATCGAATATACAGGTGCGTTGGTAACTCTATAAACATTCATCTCCTGAGAAACTCATCTACATGATGTGTAACTCTTAGAAAAGAAAAGTAACCTTATCAGCTATTCTTTTTTCCTTGAAATTAAAATGTTTGTCATTGAATTTTTGTGGATTTTTACATTCATATATTTTATTTGAAGTCAAAAGGCAAACACTAATTTAGTATATGTTATTATTATTGTAGATTTTTATTATCGAATATTTATTATCACAACATTTAATTAGAGAAAGAGACAAGACGAGATTCATATAATGATTTGATACAAAAAAATTTTTTTTTCATTTAGTGAAGATTAAATTTTTGAATGCGATGATTACCAGTGTCTGAAACATAGAGATTATTCTCATTTCGATCAAGGACAACATTCCATGGAGTACGAAGTTCACTAGCATTAGTACCCATTTGACCGGTAGAATTACCAGCTATTTTGATATCTGTTGTAGTATTGGCAAGCCACATTTGTATACGATGATTGCCTGTATCTGCAACATAGATTGTTCTATCGATTCGAGACACCCAAACACCATTCGGCGATTGAAGTTGATTCATTGCAACACCTGGTCCATTGCCTCCTGCAACTGTTATACCAATATTCGACGTATTACTCGTTAAATTAAATAATTGAATTCGATGATTGCTACGATCTGCAACATAGAGTAAAGAAGCATCTTCATCAAAATAGAGTCCTTAAGGATTATTTAATTGATCACTATTGTTGCCTGCAATACCAGTTCCAACTAGAATTCGTGTTGCATTTGCCGAATTTCGACTCCATTCAGTTACCCAATGACAATATTGATTAACAATATATATATTATTAACCGAACGATCAACGACAATACCCATAGGTGACCTAATCGCTGTAAGAGAACAAGTTGATGAACGACTTACAAACGGAATTGTTCTCATGGATGGCCAAAATAGAAGATAATTTGATTGAAATATTACTACATATAAGGTACTACTATCAGCATAAAGCCAAGACGTATATATAGTCAAATTTGGAATAAGAGTTTGACCTATGCGATTGATTCCAACATAAGAAAACATTTGCATACGGTTATTAAATATATCAAGTATATACAATGTTCCATTGTCGGAAAGAAAAATACCATTTGGACTATGAAGAGCATCACTAGTATTACCTGAACTAGAATTACAATAACTAGCAACAGTGATACCAATCAACACTGAACTTCCTAAAGTATTACAAATCATTTTTTTATTTAAATTCTAAAGAAAAAAGATTGATTTTTATTTCATATTACTTACCATTTGAAATTCTTTTTTTCACACATGTCGTAAATGATCCATAACAATTTGTTGCACAAGTCAAATTTAAATCATCTCGACATGCATCTAATTGAGAACATGTTTGGTTTTCTATTAATTTATTTACACATATTGATCCATTCCAATAAGTAAGCGATGAACATTGACATGGTTGATCTATTTATTATTTACAGATTTTTTAAAATAAATTTCCGACTATAGCCTCTAGCCTTCCGCGATAATTTTTTTTTTGTTCTTATAACTATTGTTCTATTGTGAGTGTCTTGAAGAGATAAGATCACTACACTAGAACTTGGAATTTTTTTTATCTTATCAAAAAGAAATGAATACTTTAGAAAAAGGATCACTTTCAACAAATATTGACCCCCTCCCTTTATTATATGATGACTTATGTCTCATCGATGATTAGAAATTCTCTAGAAAATATAAATGAAATCATTTGAAACAATTACTTCATTAACGACTTACTAGGATACACTGTTAAAAAGTGAAATTTTTATTATTACTGTAATTTTATGCAATCTATCAAAATGATTAAAATGTCGACAAAAGAAAATGATGATACCTATAATTATGATTTGAACTTCTGAAAATAATAGATCTCTATAGGAATCAAGATTTTCAAAACATGATTAAAGAAAATGGCACATAAAATTCTAATGCCTTGTTATTGTTTTTATTATTTTTTGTATCACAAATACGAACACTTCCACGTAAAATACCAACAAATGGCTTGTATTTCTAGGTTTTGATCATTGAGTTCTTTTTTTATTGGAAATCAACATGATTTTCAGAATCAGGATAGAAAAAATTTATCAGAAATTCTATATTTCATTACAAAATATCTTTGAATAAATCTTTATTCTACTTTGTCTTATCATTTTGTAAAATTTTTGGCTATACTTCTCAATGTCTACAATTTGATTGGAAATCTTTTCAAATTAAATATAGTTTCCAGTGATTTTTGCATGATGATTTCAGAAATCATGCTTATTTCTAATAAAAACAAAAAACAATTTTTGATAATCAAAATCTATAAATATTAGCCATTGCTTTGGTATTATTCTCATATTACTGATAATCAAAAACATAGTTGAACAAAATAAAAACTAATGAGGGGGTGAAGATGAAAGAAAATATAACCTATGGAAGAGTCATCACGTATTTTGAATTGATTTCTGAAATAAAAATCTTACTATTGATTATTGGTATACATTGGGTATAGATACCATTGTTACAATTTTGAGCACATGTTAAATTAAGATCTATTCGATATGCATTTGCTTGTGTGCATGTTTGATTTTCAAATAACTGATTCATACATATACCTTGATTCCAATAGGTATTCAATGGACATTGACAAACATTTGAACATTGGCCATAACGGCTATATTGACAAGCAGAACATGATTGATTATGTAAGGATGAATATATCTCAGGTGTATGTTGAATACTTCCAATAATCGATAATGGTCGCGATGGTAATGATGATATCATTGATCATGTAGTAAAATCACCTTGGAATAAACGACATCGACCAGTAGTCGGATCATAATCGAATGTATGACATGCTGAGACTTGATGACAAGCATGTGAACATACGAGAGAAGTAGATGTTGTCAAAGTCGATAGCCATAAAATAGAATTCAATGGTTAATATTCGACACCTGGTGAACTTAGTATTATTATTGATTGATCGCAATAGGAAAAAGAAATAAGATAAAGAATGAGAAATATGTTTATGAGAAACATTTGTTGAACAATATCTCTTATGTCTGAGAAATTAAAATCGTCGTGAAGAAGAGAAATAGGTTTTTTTGTCAGCATGACATGTAGTAGAAGAAAGAAGTAGAGTAATATTCCAATGAAATTAATTTCCAATATAGATATCCTTAATTTTTCAAGATATTTCGAAAATGTGTGAAATATGTTAAATTACTAGATGAAGAAAAACTAATCAAAACGTTTGCGTGTCTTTTTTTCCTCTCTTATGAAAATGTGCAAAACTTTTTTCTTTTCTCATGACTGTTAAGAGACACTTCATGTGAAACTCGAGAAACAGCCATATAGACCATAACATGATTTTTTGCAACATATCCTTTCTTTAATTTCATTCGATTGTACATGAAAAACTATGGTTATGAAATTTTTTTTAGACCTGAATGCACTTACACTCACGAAGTTATAGACATTTTAAGATCAGCACCCCTGAAAACACCAAATGTTCAGTAATTTTGACTTTTTGAAGTCAAATTACATCAAATACTGTCGAGTAACATCTCAATTGAAAGAGCGTAAAAAACTGCATCGATTGATATATTTGACATTTCTCAACTATTTAGTTTTTCTAAAAAAAGTTTTCATTTTTTGAAAAAAAAACTGATTTTTTTCGAAGGAATTTGTGAGTATTTCTTTTTTTTAGAGAATACATCCTATTCCGCGATATTGAACATTCCAGAATCAGTTCCGTTCAATTCCGAGAACTCGATCATGATTCTGTAGAACAGTCTTAATTGATATTGATCGGGTTCCGTCGATTTCCGGAATTCCGGGAATTGAATGAAGACGAAGTTATAGGGAATTCCTAGGTATTCCTTCTGATTCCGGAATTCCGTACGGGAATTCCTTCTTTCCCTCACCCTCACTCAGAGTGTTGTGTTTGAATGCTAGTTCGTCGGATAAGTTAGTAGTTTCGGTACGGAATTCAGGGAATTCCTAGAAATTCCGGAATTCGCGGAACTCGATCGGTGTCGAGTAGGTCTATTATGCCGAATGATGATCGAGTTTTCGGAATTAGATGGAACTGATTCCAGGGGGAAACTGATTCCGCAATATTCAACATTGCGGAATAGGATAACTGTTCCTTTTTTCTAGAATATTTTTCAAAAAGAATTACATATTCGGAATCAGCATTAAATTCTGAGCAAAACGAGGTATTTTTTCTTGCCGAAAAACGACTTTCATTTTTCGCGAGTCATTTGGGACTCGTAGGGGACCCCAGAGATTATCAAAAAAAATTGTTTTTGTCAAATGCTAATAAATTTGACATCAGGTGACGCGGAATTTCATTCTGATTCCATATATCATATGGGTTTTACTCAAAAGCAAATTTTTATTGGTCATACTCTAAAAATACCGACACATTTTTTGATTTTTCTGCCCTACTCGCGGCATTTTCATTATTCGCCATTCTAATTGTTTTTGTACTTTTTGCAGTTATTTTCGGAATCAGCATCAAAAACTGCATCGAACTATGTGTGCTGCCTATTAGATAGAAATCTTATTTTCGTTCTCTATAAGGTTAAGGGACACAAACCCAGACTTGTTGTCGCCTGTTTTAGTATTTTATACTACAAATGTCCATAACTTTGTTGTAAACCATTTTTTAAATGTGAATCCAAGTAAGAAAGCATCTTGGCACATCACCGCATGTAGTTTTCGACTAGCTAATGACGCTACCGTCTTGCATGAGAACGATAACTGAAAATGGACCTTTATCAGCAGCCTACAGAAAACCAGGTTTTCATCCACGCAAATTTCGTTTTTCAGGTTTCAATCTGGAATCCCTAATCAGAATGAAATTCCACATCGATCGATGCCAAATTTGTTAGAATTTGGCAAGAACAATATTTTTGATAATCTCTGGGGTCCCCTACGAGTCCCAAATGACTCGCGAAAAGTGAAAGTCGTTTTTCGGCAAGAAAAAATACCTCGTTTTGCTCAGAATTTAATGCTGATTCCGAATATGTAATTCTTTTTGAAAAATATTCTAGAAAAAAGGGTGATCTTAATGCCATGTGTTCTTGAATATCGCTACACGCTAATTTTGTTACCGAAAATTTCGACCTGTTGGCCTCCCGCCCCATTTGAGACATTGAGAGTTAGCTCATTTTGTGCAGAATTGAATGCTCTACAAGAGCCAGTAGTCAAATTTTTGGTTAACTTAAAAGCAGTCATTAAAAACAGAAATACTCACAAGTTCCTGAAAAAAAAATCAGTTTCTTTTCAAAAAATGAAAACTTTTTTTTAGAAAAACTAAATAGTTGAGAATGTCAAATATATCAATCGATGCAGTTTTTTCCGCTCTTTCATTTGAGATGTTACCCGACAGTATTTGATGTAATTTGACTTCAAAAGGTCAAAATTACTGAACATTTGGTGTTTTCAGGGGTGCTGATCTTAAAATGTCTATAACTTCGTGAGTGTAAGTGTATTCAGGTCTAAAAAAATTTTCATAACCATAGTTTTTCATGTACAATCGAATGAAATTAAAAAAAAGATATGTTGTAAAAAATCATGTTGTGGCTATGCTCGATGTCCTCATAAAGTGTCTCTTAAGTATTACATTTAATACTTTAATTTCATTTCATTTCTTGAATTCTTCTATTTCTAGATTGAGAATGAATAGACTACTAAAATAAGTCTTTGTTTTTAATACAAGACTTTCAAAAATGTGATGAATCATTAACAAGTAAAAAATTAGTTACCCATGCAGTCAGAAATATGAAATTGACACGGTAAAACAATTCTTTTTGCTCTTTTTTATTCAGTGCATTGTGCACAGTCAAATATGTCCGGAAAACCGCGTTTTAACACAGTGCTTTTTCTTTTACTTTAAACGCGTTATAATTCGTAGTTTTGAACATTTTTGACTGTGTATAACACATTTAAACTCAAGAAGAATAGATATAACTCATATACCTTAATATTACAAACAATATTTACTAATAAATAAGAGATACCAGATAATATCAATTCGAAGAAAGTTAATTCTGAATCTAAAATGTCAGATCTTGCTTATTCACTACGAGATTGTTTTTCACTATTTGGAAGATACAGAAAAATATTAAATTTCGCTAGAAGACTATTGCTCAATTATTTACATTTACATGGCCATGAACCTAATCTTTGAAAAGAAATCAAACTATACTACTGTGTGTAAATCAAATAGAAAACAGATCGATCTATATTTCTCTGATATAAATCAATCTGCTAGTCTCAACTCTTGCTTTTCAGCAACCGAAGAAGTCGTAATTATTTTCAAACGTGCTTAAGCAAGTAATAAATACAGATGTAGAGTTTAATTTCGCCGACGTGTTTTGTGTTTATTTTATTGGAATAATAAAACACTCATCTGGGCTCTGCATTACAAGAACAAGCATATATTAATACAAATTTATTATAAAACGTATAAGCTGTCTAAATTAGGAGCATAATTGTTACTCTATACTACATTTAAAACAGAAGCAATACAATTATTTTCTAAAAACTACACAATAACACTGAAAGGAAATATACATACAAATTCAAAATTTCGAAAGGTGGGTGCAGGTGTGGGTGTGTGGGGTGTCGATGTGTGTGTGGATGTAACTGTGCATGTGGGTCTCTTTTCTTTTATACTACACTCAGCCACATTCGCAACCACACCCGCACTCTTTTGACCTCTAACAATGACACAAATGCACGGACACACACAAATTCATATTATTTCATATGACCCTCTCTACAGCCAAGGGAACAACAATTTTAAAATGTTTGTTTTTCTATTATCTTGTTTCTGTCCATCAAGGTATATTTTTCTTTTGATCATCATCTTACTCACCTGACCTGCCTTAAGTTTATCTTTCAGTGTGCATGTAAAATTATCAGAAGATTGCGCGGTGTATAACAGTTTTTTAACTAAAAGAAAAAAAAACTGCAACAAAGTGTGATTTCGACGGTGACTGGCTGCTTTAGTAAGTATGTTTCGTAAAAGAAAATAATACTGTCAGTGTTCCATGTAAGCTTGTCACTTCTATCAACAGAATTAAAACTACTTATTGCTCTTAATGTGTTTTACTTGACATATCTTATTCAATGGCAGAAGTTACATGGCTAGAATAGTGCAGCATACATTCCCTTTCTTTGTTCTCATTCCATTATCAGCGCCTATGACTGTCTACTTGTAAATAAATGGCAAGATGGCAAAAATCTGTTCTTTCTACATTTGACAAAAATAACGTGAAGTTTTAAATTTAAAAAGTAGCCAAGATGCTAATAATTGTGCTCACAACATCTATTCACGATTGAGAATCTCCAAAATATGTTACTTAACATCGTAAAGAACAACAATATGACTGCACGGTGGATTCCGTCTTATTGTGAGACCATGCTTTTCTCTCTGCATTTTCTTATTGTACTTTAGGTAAAGTTCTATGTTTTCTTCTTATCGTGATTTATTGATAAGACACTGAACAAATGTTACAATGTTTTCTCATATAGGTATAATCCATCAATATTTATTGGTAAACTAGCATTATTTTGTCAAATGATGAACGATAATTATGGCATCTATGTTCTTCAACTTTTCATAGGGCTAAACCATTAATACTGAAAACTATGGAAAATTGTTTGACAGAAAATACGTATTTTACTGCACTTCGTTCTAAGCTTATTCATCGTATCTTTGACTACTGCGATACTAAGACACTGATCCTTTCCGTTCGTCGCGTTTCTAA